CCTCAACTGCACATTTTTTATTCATTTTCTATGTTTAATATGGAAATATAAAAGTAAGAGCCTGTAAATTAAGAGTCTGTTTTAGTTTCTATTTGCAGTAAAGCACATTAGTGTTGCAATAATAGTTCAATGAAGATCAAACTGCTTTTTTGTAATATATCGATTTGACGGCTATGGCCTTAAACAGCCAGCTTTGACTCTGCTTACACACACACACCATGTGTGTCGGGGGTTTTTGCTCCCTGTGTCTTTTCAAAACCCTAAATGTGCTGCGTATGACAGAGCATACAGGTGAAGACCCCCCACTTTACCACCCTGGAATCTTATTTTAATGACTTAAAGCCTTAAAAACAGCAATATGTATGCAGAAACCATTCCCCCCTAATAATCACTTATGCTTATCATTAGGTAAATGGTTTGCAACAAGCATTTAAAAATAAAATCTGTTCAAAGGGAAGGGACTTTCTGCTAAAATAATTACCAGAGCAAAAAATTAAGGCATTGGTCAAATTTATTGAAATTACAGAATGTTTTCCAACTTTACACAAACACAGCGACGTCTCCTTGTCTTTGTCAAGTAGCCTTTGCATAGCTCCCCTCCACCTCCCGGTCCAAAGCTGAGCTGTACCTGCAACAATCAGAGTGTCGGCCATAGTTGCTCAAAGTGGTCCACATAGACACACCCTAATAATAATATCAGGGGACCCAAGGAGCAGCTTCTGCTGTTTAAGGACAATCATCTCGACTTGTATGTGTGCGTCTGTGTGGGTTTGTGTTTCTGTTCTGGTGTGTGGGTGCACTCACTTGTTTTGTTTTTTTTGTTTTGTTTTTTTGACGGGTGCTGACTCATTTTGTTCTTGTGTGCTTGCTTGCAGACGTGCCAAGTTAAGGCTCTACTTGGAACAGTTGAAGAAGCTGGTGCCTTTGGGTCCTGACAGTACGAGACACACCACCCTGAGCCTCCTGAAAAGGGCCAAAATGCACATCAAGGTACTTAAAGAGCACCGCGAAATTACATTTCTGTGGTTATAGGCTGGTTGCTACTGTTCAAGACAACCACAGCTTGTGAGGTTTTGTTTTAATGAGTTTTTTTCAATTAAATGGCTTGATCTGTGTTTTTTTTTTTTTTTTTGTTAATATGACATTTATAACCTGATACCATTACATCAAATCCAGGAAAACAGACTTTTCCTGACTATTTTTTTTTACTATCCTGACTTATAGTACGTACGTCCAGCTTCCTTGTACCTGATGCCAAACATTCCCTCAGCATGACACTGCCACCACTATGTTTCCTAGGGCAGAGGATGAGTTTAGGAGGATTTGCAGTGTTTGTATTCCACCAAATGTGCTAATATGCACACTTTGAAAACAATCTTTTTACATATTTATGTGTATATATATATATATATATATTAAAAAAAACATGCTATCCATGTAATAACAGTTCATAACTGCACTGTTTGGTGCTGCTGGGGACATTTTTTAAGACACAATATGAATAATTGTGCTTGGCTTTTATGAAATGACATGCATTTTGCACAAGCACATCCAAGTAAAAACATCCCTTATTAAGAAATCAGGAAAAATCTTCTTTTTTGATTTTTCATAGTTTGAAAAATTCAGGACAAAAAGGAAGAAAAAACAAACTTAACAAATGAGTCAAAAAAGTGGACTGAGCAGAGGGCTGGGTGGCTGATCTATAGATAAGAAGATAATGGGACGTTTAGTTTGTATAGAAGCAGCTTCTCCATGTTTCAGGACACTATAAACTCACAGATGCAATGATCTGCTGTGTGCACAAGAGGAGGAATATTAAAAGCCTTAAGAAATGTTTTTCATGCATGGACTGTTGGGCTGCAGAAGATGGGGTCATGCTGCACTGATCGCGGTGTTTACAGGCAGCAACACTGTGGTTGGATGGAAAATTCAAACGTCAAGAGTTTTAACCCTTCATTTCCTGTTTACCGCGCAAGTCCTGTCTGCTCAGACGCTGCATGCTGGTTCTCGTCACTGCGTCGTGTCTTCTTGTTTCACAGGAGGCCTCAGGGCTCGGGGTTAATTTGATTTACCACCGAAAACTTTCAGTTGCAAATGAGAGCAAAATATAACCCCAAACAGAGTCAGAATTTGACTGTGGTGCTCATGTTTATTTATTCATTTACTTTTTGCTTCACTCATTAAATGTGTCAAAGTGGAGCTTTAATACCTTTTAAAAGAGTTGTGGTTTTAAGCAGATAGATCCTATAGCTATAAAAGTTACTAAATCATATCACACGCCACAGTTTTCTGCAACACTGGCAAATATCCATTCAAAGCAGTTAAGTTATTTCCTATTCTATTGCTTTTGTCTAAACTCTGCCTGGAAATGTTCAAAGAAAACCAGCCTTTAATCTGAGCACTTTTATTAATGTAGCAAATGTTTAAGTGTTGAGAAAAAAAATATATTTTTTGTAAAATTACTGGTGCCATTTATGACTTCCTGTTTTCCTGTAGCATAAATATGGTGTGATATGGAGGGCCATTCCTGCTAGGCAACCTTCAAAACAGAAAAACATCCCTTTAATGTAAGGCAGATATACGTTTAGAATAGCTTTTCATCTAATGTTACTCTACAGTAATAGACTTCATGCACTATGAAGGGGAGGGTTTAAAAACTGAGATATATTTCAAGAACTGGTCACAAAGGCTTCATAAAAGGTTTCATTTTGAGTTGCATTTAAAAGGAAACCAAACAAAATGTGTATTTCTACAGCAGGATCTTAAATATATCAATTCTATTATTTTATGTCTGCATTTTCTGTGGGTTTTTTTTGTCTTGCAGAAGCTGGAGGAGCAGGACAGGAAGGCTCTAAACGTGAAGGAGCAGCTTCAACGAGAGCACCGCTACCTCAAACGCCGCCTCGAGCAGCTCTCTGTTTCGGGATCCGTGGAGCGCATCCGCACAGACAGCATGGGCTCTACCATTTCCACCGACTCAGAGCAAGGTATGCTGACGTTTCACTGAGGAGGTCCTAGAAACAGAGCCATAGATCCAGCATTTACTGCAGACCAGAGACTTCATTTAATTTCTCCCTCTAAAGTCAATTTAAAACGCACTGCAAAGAAAATCATGCAAATTTAACTCGTTCACACCATCATTAAGGTTGCATCCGACAGACAAAGTTACACACATTTTAGAATTAATTAACAAAGCGCTGAGAAAATGTGGCGTCCATCCCCTTTACTCTGATACCACCAATTAAAATCTGACCATAAATCTATTAAACTGTTCATGTAAGCTCACATGGGATTATTGATTAGCTACTGGTAAAACAATCCTTCATTGCAAAGAATAGAAATCTAAATAGGTCATTTTTTCTTAAAATTAGTGATTTTTTTTATTTGATTGAGGAGGTAATGGAACAATACGGATGACATTTAAAATAAGCAAAACGGTTGCATTGACTTATTTCAAGTGGATATTATCTAATTATCTCATTTTAAGAGTAAAGATGCTGATTCCATTGGCAAAGATTCGTATTTAGTAGCTCAAATTAAGGGTAAATACACTTTATTTAAGACATTTTTACTTATTTCTATATATTTGTAGTGTAGAATTATGAAATCAGGAATATAATCTGGTAATTTCTGTACAAACCTGTTTTTTTCAGATTTCTCACTAAAAGAAATAGATTTGCACTAACCATATATTGTGAAGGTATATACTAAACTATGTGTTTAGCTTTAATACAACTATGAAACAGGGTGGCGACATTAGGCTGTGGAGAGGCATTCTAAAAGAAAAAACAGTGTTAATTTTTAAATAAATTAGTGAAAACTTTTAAATACATATTTGATATCCTTTGCAATCAAGCAGAACTTTGCATTGGTTAATCACATAAAATCTAAAAACAGACGTGGCTGAATGTGAAAAGAGGACATATTTTTCTGGTGTAATAAATAGGCCTTATAGCTGTGATGAAGGAAAGCAGCCTCACTGTCACATCAGAGCATGTCGACAGGCTAGTCCCCCTTGGGTTAAAGGTTAACACCTCAGATAAACAAGCGTTTCAGCTACTGATGCAGGGGAGGAAAAAGCTGGAGTGTCAGCTGCAGAAATAACAGACAGTCTGAGGTCAGGCTGGTGTTTTATATGCAAAAACCCCTGAAAATCTCTAGAGAAGTCAGAAGAACCCGTTGTGTCGCTGAGCAGGTGTTCAGAGATAAGAAAGTTGTCAGTGTTGGAGCTGAACTCAGCGCTGCGCTCAAATGCTTTTGTGTTGTGGCTAGATCGCTTGTAGTGTTTCTTAGGGGGAGCATCCGAATCCTGAAGTTACTGGCTTTTTTCCAGAGCTCTCTGTCCTGCTTAGCTTTGGGCAGCTTTAGAGTGTTAATAATCCTGCAAGAGGTAAACACATATGTGGTTCTTTATCAATGTAAAGGGGATTTACCAGCGGGAGCACAAAGATCTCCTTCACTCCGCATTAAAGGTGGTCCACATCCAGGTTAAAACCGCAGACCTCCCTCACAGCTACGCCGTATGCGCCACAGTTCAGCAGAAGCCAACATTTCTCCTCTTGTCTTCTTGTTTTTGTGTAAGCAGAGGTGGACATCGAAGGTATGGAGTTCACACCGGTGGAGGCGGACAGCATAGACAGCATCAGCGACGGTGAAGAGGAGGAGGAGGACCACTACAGCGTCCAGAGCAGCTCCAGCGACACCAGCTACACAGCCGCACATTCCCACAGACTGCAGCCACACCACTGTTAGGCGCCTCCCGGTGCTTAAACAAGCAGTTCTCCCGACTTTTCTGCTTCCCCCCCCGATTCTCCATCACCGCCTGCTACCTGCATCAAACCAGTCCACAACGGCGGTACAGCCTCCACCTGTTCCAGGCCACAACTCTGCAGGCTGACATGGTAGCTGAGCCCTCACCCCCCTCACACCTAACCATGATCTTCCCCTAATGCATCCTGCTTCCAACGCCCCCCCCCATCCCCCCCCCTCCCCGCCCTCACAGCCCTTCTCACCTGAAGTTTCTGCAGGCTCAAACAGTGCAGAGGAGAGTTTGTGGTGTTTCCTATCAGATAGATCTGCAGGGGGTAAAGGTGAGCAGCTTTGACCTGTTAATAGCTTCACGCCAAATCGAGCTTCAGTCAACTTCCAGCGGCATTACAACTCATAAAAGGCTTTGCACAAAAAAAAAGAAAAAAAGCACTTCTGTTTGCACAGCAATACATGCAAAGTCACAACCTCAGAAGCCAGTTTTGTCTAAAAGCGTCATTTATTTCCCAAATCACTGCTGCAGAAGATCTTAGAGACTTAGACTAACTTTATTGTCATCTTGTACACTAAGAGTGTATACAAAACGAAATTTCGATGCATACAGCTCACAAGAGTGAAATGAAATGAACATTACCATTTATAAAAGTGAAGCAGTGATCAGAATGTAAACAGTTAAGGAGAAAATGAAACCAGTTTGAAAGTCACGGTGCAAAAGGCATTGATATGGAAAGGTTCAGTGCAGTGCAAAATAAATAAATAGAGTCAAGTAGAACATTAAGTTGTGTTCTATTTAAAGGGATTATATCCTAAAGCATACTGCTTTATATGAAGGTAATAACACCTAGATCCATCTTTATGCTTCCTCAGTGGATCTTGGGTGATTTAAGCATGATTTGTTAGTGTTCTTTGTCACATAATGTGGCCCAAAAGGTTTCCTTCTAGAGCTCATATGCTGGTCCATCCCATACAATCTCGATAAAGCATGTTGAGGTTTGTGGTTTCGATGTGAAAAAAATGTGTAAAAGTTTTAGCTTAGCTAATTAAGAGCTTTCGCAATCCAAAAGTAAAACGTCAGAGCTGCAGCAGAGCAGAAACAGTGTAAATAGATCAGCCAGTTCCTGTCCGCATCCCCGTGTCTCCCTCTGGTTGGGTTGCCTAACCACTAACTCCACACTACTGACCACTACACTATACCACCAGATGGTGTGGATGGACTACTAAGTCAGAGAGAAAAGAAGAAGGAAGGAGTTGTCCTACAGCTATAAATCTTGTGTATTTTTTTTTCTCCTTCTCAGTAGCTAATTGATGTAGCAATAAGAGGCTTCCTCTTACGTTTTGAAGTGATCCTGGTGGACCACGAGCTATTGTTATTGGGAGATTTTACTTCTTGTGTTTTGTTTCTTGTTAGCCTGACCTTTGTGTCGGATTCACTAACTGATCCTGACCCTGTCTGCACGGCGCCATCTAGCATTATAAAAAGGAAAATTCTCTGCAGCTCTGTCGCTTTCTTCCCTGGCGTCCAATTAGCAGGTCAAAGCTGGTCAATTAAAAGCGGGGGGAAATTGGTTTTATGTAGAGGTAACCAACATTAACCCTCCTTCAGTTTCTCTAACAGCAGTAATCATCTTTTCTTCTCTGCTGTCTGTTACTTTTGATCCCCTGCTGTCTTTTGACTGTAACTCATGCACAACAGTGGCTTTGGAAGGACGAGGTGCTCCTGTTGCTCTCTGATGGTGTTAGTTATCAGTAGCCCCCACCCAGCCCTTGTCTCTTGCAGTCTGTAGAGCTTGGCACTTTAAAAAAAAATTTAAAAAACAGAAAAGCTGCCCGTCCACGACGGCGGGTGGGTCTGACCAAAAAAATACAAAACTATACTAAGAAAAAAAACCCTGGAAAGAAAAGAAGCTACTCCTCACTTAAAGTGAAATCAGCTAGTGTAGTCTATATTTCTTGTACTGAGTTTTGTATTATATTTTCCTAAATGTTCTCTAAACCTTGAAAAACGACAAAAAAAGAGTGAGTATATCTATCTATATCTATAAATATATATATATATATATATCTATATAAAAGAGACAGACAGACAGGACGCCAGGCTTGTTGAAGGGAGAGTGGGGGCAGGGGAGCCCGTACACTGGCCCCCTCTCTCTTGGGTGACTCTCCTGCTGTCATTCTGTGCCTTGGTGAGCCTTCCTCCTCCTCTTCCTCCTCGCCTCCCCCAACTCAGGTCACACTCCCCCTCCTTTTACTTGTCTTCTCAACACTTCCAGAACCTGAAGGGTCATCAGAACCACCAAAAAAAAAAAAAAGTGCTTCTTGGTGTCTGCTCCAAACGGCCACACCCCTTCCAGAACCCCGAGTCTCCACTCTGTCATGGAAATAAACAGAAAAAACAAACACTGGTGAACACCCATGGCAGCTTCCAGTTATGTCCGACCCTCCACCCCTCCAACCATCACCTCTACCGAACTGACACCAGCGGGGGGCTAAAAACGTCTGCGCTAGACGCTTCTTCATCTGCTTTTTTTTTTTTTTTTTTACAATTATTGTATGTTGACTAAAAGTTTGTTCTGCGGGAGCCACCGGGAGAGGAGCGACAAAAGAATAATCAATGGCAGCTTAAGGTGTTATCCTCTGAGCTCCCAGGTGGTCCGACCCAAACTGAAAAAGAAACAATAGTGTTACCCATCGATCAGGGGGACTTCTCAACTCACAGCAATATGACCATCTTGTGCTTTCGGACAAGGGAGGGCGGGCAGGGCAGGGGTTTTTAAAGACAAGCAGGTGGTTTACTTTGCTTTTACTCTGTGGTGCATTTATGGTGACCAACACTTTGTTTGCTTTTTTTTTTTACCTCCTATCTGCACTCTCTCCATACACTGCAGGAGGGCAAAAAAAAAAAAAATATAACCCCAGGTTAAAATGCATTTTCTTTTGGTCATAAAGAGTTTACATTCATGTCAGAGCATTTGTACATGACTGTTTGTAGCAAAAAACAAACAAATAAAAAAAAAAAAGCCGCCCTTATTGGTTGACATGAACAACTGGGTATACCATTATTAATGGGTTCTAATGATTCTCTCGCACAGAACCTCCTGTTTGAAAAGCGACAAGGATAGAGGGAGCCAGATTTGAGATTATAATGATGCAGTTATTCTTGGGGGGAAAAAAATAAAAAAGCACACATGCTCATGATGAGAGGTAATAGAGCAGCTGACGGGACATGTTGACATTCTGGTTGTTTCATGAGTGGCTAGGTGGGGATGGGAGTTCCTTCAAAGATGTGCCTTGCGAAGAGATTTAAACAAAAAGTTATTTTCTTTACAAACAAGAGATTGTACCAGTTAAAGACTGTTTGTGTTCCGCTTACCTTCTGCAGCTGATGTATAGAGGCATGGGCCGGGGATTGTTTTGGAGATATTGAAAGGACTGAACTCTTTCGCCAATAAGTAGAAAAATGCACAGATTAGGCTTTTACTGACTGATACCGACTTCCCATTTTCTTTCAGGTAAAGCTTTTAATTTAAACCATTTCTATTAAATTTTTTTCTTTCAAGGATTAAAAGAAAGAACAAACTTCTGCTGCTGACAGAAGCAGTGTTATGAATCCAAATGGATATGAAGGAATTAAAAGATTATACTAACTGGCAGATTGATTGTGAATTGGCTGTTTCGGTTATCTGGATGCTTTATTGGTGCATTTCTAATTGAGTCCCTTGAAATAAAATAACAGAAAAACTACAGGATTGACGGGTTTTTAAGTAGACTGATCTTGCCCGTTCCCCACCTGTTGCTGCACACTGCTACAGTTCTTTTCATGAGATGCGCAACTTGTTGTTTTGAAATGTAAGACATTAGATCATCCCCTGGCTTTTTGTGTTAGTGTTGTGGTATTGTTCCCCTTAGGTAATGTCTTTAGTGTATCTTAACCGGCCCATGCCTACCTTCGTTTTGCTGTCGTATAGAGAAAAGGTTTGTTGTAGATAACAGCAGGCTTGGACAAAATAACAGAGAAACATCTCAAGAGATCAAAACCAGTTCAAGTCTTCTGCTGCTTTTAAAATTCACCCCATGACTTCCATAAGAACTGTTATTCCTGCCAAACAAAGTCACTTTTATTCCTGATTTTATGTTAAACAACATGGATTGCTTTAACTACCTTTTAGGTTTTAGGTCTGCTTTCCAGTTTCTGCACTTTCCAGCTTTTATTTCTTTCGTTCTTTATTTGCATTTTCACGCGTTGAGCTAAAGTCCTCCAGAGTAGGAACCACCGAGTGGATGCCTGGGTTGGGATCTAGCAGAGGGGACAACGGAGAAACAGTAGGGGACTGACGTGCTGAGCAGAGGAGGGAGAGTTCTGTGCCAGAGACCTGTGAAATATGTTCCTTTATAGAGGATGTGTAATTTGCATACAGAAGATGTTCTTTTTTTTCATTTTGTTTTGTGAGTATGAGTGCGTCTATACGAGTACCTGGTGCTGGCTACATTTTAGCAAACACTTGGAGGTATTGTGTATTGTCTCATTGTAATATAATTAAAATGTTTTATACATAAACGTGTCGCTGTAATTTACTCATGTACGCAGCTGAGCAAAGGAGCAGGAAATTTGTATGAAGGCATTGAAATGTTATGGGGGGGGGCTTCCTGTTTGGTTTGTGCAGCTGAAATCTGGAATATCAGTTTTTAAAGGTCAGAGTGCAGCTACAGTCACAGAAGATGTTAGATGAACCCAGAAACAAGACAGTGTTTTCATTTGTTTTATTGGAGCTTATCTAAACAAATAAGAGCTTTCTGAAATTTTACCTTGATGTGAAATCAAACATTGGAAGAATTGAGGATTTTCAAGAGATTTTAAAGTTTAAAATGACCTGAAAAAATGAAGAGTACATTTGTCACTTATTGTGAATCCCAAAACGACAAAAATCCAGTGAATTCAAACCTTAAAGGAATGCAGCCGTTGAAATCAAAACAAAACAATCTCCAGAAGAAGCTTTTAAAAGCAGAATCAGATGATCCAGTTTCATTATTGCACCTCAGACAGTCATACAGTTACAGGCTGTTCTTATTACACGATAAATCAGTGAAAATGTTGCTCATTCTAATAGAAGCCACTCTGTTGTGATTGTCAGTGTCAGCATAACCATTTATGCTTTCTAATGATCGATTAACAGTTTGCCATTTAACTCATAACATAATGCTGTCCCCCCCCGAAATTTAAATTAACATTATAAACTACCAGGAAGCTGGACTTTCTGACAGCTAAAGCAGTAAAAGGTTTTATACAAAGACCTGAGATTTAACAAAGAACTGATAAACGAATAAAAGATAAATCTACAGTAAGTGCAAACAGGGTGAAGGCGTCATCGCTCTGCCATCAGACGTACTGCTGGGGCTTCTGTGGAGCGCTGGCAGCTGAAGCCAGAGTCTTGGCCGCCTCCTTGGCCTTCTCTGATGGAGGTTTCACGGTGTCTCTGAGCAGCCATTGGGGCGTCTCTCCTAACGGAATCAGAGGGAGGAAACAAAGGAGTGAGGGACATAATAAACTCACCTTCAAATCAGTAAACAAACACGGAAATATCCCGACATTGTCAGCCACAAAAATATTCATTCCCTCCACTTTTTCTGTGTTGCAGTTGGTAACTTGAATATTTAACATTAAGAAGACCCAATAAAGTCTTAAAAAAAATGATTTAATTTTCAAAAAAGAATATTTAAATACTGAGAAATATGTGAAGATATATTCGACTACTGTTGTTACCGTCGGAGGGATGTGAATGCTTTTGTAAGGCACAGTTTCTTGTTATATTTTTGGGGTTTTTAAGCAAATCTAAAGATGCTTTAAAAAACATTGTTGTTTAAGCATCTTGACTAAATACAATAGAAAGCAATTACCAAAGATTTAACCACCAATAAATAAGATTTGAAGAACAAATGAGACTCTAAATCCTTCATCTAAACATGTCAAACTTTAAAGGCTTTAATTTAATCCAAGTTCATTTCTGAGCCCTCTTATGTCTAGACAGCTGCCATCGGTTCTCTGTATTACGGACTCATGGGTGTCAGAAGAAGAGGTGACATAACATCAAGCACAGAGGAACTTAAACCAGCACACCCTCATTTGTATGCTGGTATGAACCGCCTGACACCAGATTCACTGCCTAGGGCTGTGGAGGATATTTGTGTCTGCCCTGACTGTGAACCTTCGACCTCAAGGGAGATCAACAAGCCTAACGAAGGCAGAGCGGACAGCAGAGACCCACCGACCGCTCTCCTCCAACCCTGCAGCACATCTCAGCTAAAATAAAAGGCAAATAGAAAAGTTTCAAGGTCATCTCAGTGTAGTCTACTTACTCTCATATAGCACCTTGCAAAAGTATTCACACCCCACCCCAAATTTATACCCGTTTTGGTACATTCCGACCTGTCATCTAAATCAACCTTTTTTGACTTTTACAATTATAGACGATTGGCCAGAAGTGGAACATACAGTAACTAATTATAAGATAAAAACTATTTTACTTAATCTTTTTAATTTAAGCATTTAATTCTTTGGCTTTTTATTCTTTACATCACAAATAGAAAAGCAACATAAATGTGTTGCCTGGAAGTTAGTAAGGAATCAAAATAAATACAAAATATTATAAACCTGTATTTATAACACCATAGAGCTCCTCTGACTAACTCCCTTACAATCACATTTAAACTTGATGAATTGGGAACTTAAATTATAGCCTGACTGACTTAATCAGTTTGTTTTCATCAAGACACCTGAGCTGCGTAGATGGGGTCCTATAGCTCAATGTGAAAAACAGCTGATCCTGCAGGCTGTTCTTACTTAAACATATGAGAAAAACTTACTTTTTAGTTGATAAAAGCTTGTTTTATTTTTCAATTGGGTCTTTGCAAAGCAAAACAGATCCCAACCCTATTTTATTCCCTAAGAAATAAAATATTTTCATGTACACCTTGCAATGCACTCGTGGACCATTAGAGGTGCCAGTACCCCTGGTTGGGAATCACTGATATAAATGTTTTTAAACTTATTACATTTTATGGATCTGCACAAACCTTTGATGAAGTGAAATGAAATGTATAAAAGTAAAAAAAGAATAAAACCAGATAATTGGACTTTATATGAAGCCTCTAAACACAGTTCGTACTAAAACATTCCAATACATTTAAATGTGTTGGAATGATGTGGTTGATGTCTACACCTCAATCCAATGGAGAATATCTGGTTAGATTCAAGTACTGCTATTTACAAGCAAAAAAAAAGCACTTTTTCCTGCAGGAATTAGAAAAATCTCAGTCGCAAGTTGTTGCTGGCTCATTCAGCTAGAATCCCTGCAGAACTAGCTCTAAGTACAGGCTTGAAAGGGTTGAACAGCCAGGTATGCTGGAGTTTTGTTTATTTTTTTCTTCCTATTTTCTGTTGTTAAAGAATTAAACAAAATATCTGTAAAGTTTTAGGCATGTTCTGAAAATGCAATGGTGCAAACTATAAAACAATCCCTTTTTACCATAAGCTATGAAGCAACTAAGTATAAAATAGGAGGTGAAAACTTTTCCTAGGCATTGTTTCATAGGTAGCCATGCAGCCAAGATTTATTTAGAAACATAAAACAAAAACAGTTTTTTTATGGAAATGAACTGAGGCTGTACCAAAGCAAACAACCTAGCAAGATTACTTCATCATCTATTAATTTAACTAATCCACAACAATGGTAATCAGGATCAGCGGTACCATGAAGCTGGTTATCAAGATATCGCTAAATCAATCCAGCTTTAACTGATCACGAATCTGTGAACTATAAAGGGCAGATGCTGACTTCATTAATCAGCTCCATCAGGGCAGTGGATACTTGACGGACAGCTTAACTGTATTTTTACTTGAGCTGCTCAGCATCTACGACAGTGTGCATGAAGCTGCTGGTTGTGTAATATCACATGGTCATACATGCAGCTTGTGTTACAGTTAGGGCTGCATTCCTGCAGGTCGCACAGCAAACACACTGTTCTAGGATCTGATATGTATCCCAGTTCGCCCAATGAAAACCTGTATCACTCAAATCGTCATAGTGATCTAAAGGATCTTCTCACAATTGGGGTTCTGATTTTTAGTTTCTTTTTATTTAGCTTCATAAATCAATTATACAAGAAACAAGTGAATCCCTGTTGTGTATGAGGACATTATATAGGGGGGGAAAAAACCCAGTGATCCTGCCTGGGTGGTACAGTCCTCTGACCCGACTTTTTACTAGCTGATTCAAACCCTCAAATAGAGCTGAAAAAATAAATCAGATTAATCGATTATCAATAGATTATTAAAATAATAGATAATCAAAAATTATTAAAATCATTAAAGTTAGTAATCAATTAATTGTTAACTGGAGTAAAGAGACTGAAACATACCTTTAGCTGACAGAGCAACATTAATTATACCAAAATTGTAATTTGATCTTTAAGATAAAAACTTATTCTTAATAATAATAATTGAACTTTATTGATCTCACATTGGAGAAATCTACCTCTGCATTTAACCCATCCCCTTGGTAGTGGGCTGCCATCGTCGGGCGACCGGGGAGCAGTGTGGGGTCTGTGGGAGTGGGGCTCAATCTCAGAACATCAGGAGTCCAAGCTCTATGCCCTAACCAGTAGGCCGCCACTCCCCAATATGCCCTCTGTCAATATGCTCTATCCAGAAATCCTCAAGTGGAAAAGTTTTAGTTTCACCTGGTTTAACTTAGTAAAAACACCTTCTTTAAGGAACCTCTTGCTATCCAATTATTAACTGATTAATAAAGAAAATAAACAAATTAATAAATTAGCAAAATATAGTCATTAGTTGCAGCTCTAAGAACCCTTGAACTTAGTTGGGACCTGTTTATTATAGACGAGGGGGATTTTATATTCCTAAAGTTTTATAAACATGCAGCATGGGAGGAGTGCGTTCAGGACACAGTGCTAGTTTTGCACCGTGCATTTTTGCATCTAGGATAAAGAGTTAAACTTTGGGGTAGTCTGATCCTCTTCTCATATGTTTACTGTGTCCTCTATCTGGCCTTCTTTTATATAAGCCTTTATACAGGTCTCTATGTTTCATCAGGGCCAGATTAGTGGGGAGAACTAATATTTCTTCTACTAACAGATTCTCCCATGTGAGCAGTGAGACTCTGCAGCTCCTCCACAGTTACCATGATAACCATCCCCTAGCTGCTTCTCTGGTTAATGCTCCCACTGTTATATCCTGGTAAGTTTAAAGTCATCCCACACTCTTTAAATCACTGGTTGACGAGCTGATTAGATCTCTGTGAGTCTAAAATCTAACTTTGCTTCAAACCTATTTACAATTTAGCAAATTGTGGAAAAGGGTTGAATATCCTGCATTTTTCTTTATTAATGTTACAAAGCTATTCGAGCTAAAGTGAATTTCTCTGAACTTGGGCAGAGATGATAATTTATCATCGGCAGGACAGAAACCAGATGTGGAGCTGCATGTTTAAAATGATAGAAAATTGAAATCTGACTATTTTTATTTGAAACAAATCAAGAAAGAAAAAAAAGACAGATCAAGGAAAACCTCATGCATTTTTTTTGTTTAAAGCTATCCCACCCATCACACTGTCCCCAACATGTTCCATGATCTTAGACCCAAAACCAGAATAACTGCGAACCAAACAACTAAAACATGTAATCTGGAATACTATGGCTGTGTCCGAATGTCCGCCCTAATCACTTTATATTTTAGATGAGTGTCCGAACGTCTAGTGAATGAAAAGGAGTGGACTTGAAATTTCCCATAATACACCTTGAAAAGTAGTGATTAACCATGGTGACTAGACCATGCTTTACGCAGAGAGCTCTCCTCGCAATTGTTGTCACAGTGGCCCACTGTCGCTACCCGACAGCGGCGGCTAATAACAAAGATGGCACAGGCACCGCAGGGTGGAGGCAGAGTTACCAACGGGGAGCGGAAAGTAGTGATCATCTCTAAGAACACTCAGTTAACTGAGCTCACTATAAAGTCCACTGTATAGTCTCAGCTCTATATAGTGATTGAGGGATCTAGGGGTTAGGGTAGACATTCAAACACAGCCTTGGTGTGTTTCTAGGCTACGATTACAGAAAAACAACAAGAACTCCCCCTAAACTTTGAATCAAAACGTACTGAACAACAATGACTTTATTTAGGCCTTTTAATCTGAATGCAATGCAAACACTGTAACCATGCATGTTGCCTCAATTAAATATTCAGGTCTCACTATAGTTGCTTCATGCAAAAGAAAAGTAGAAATATGAAATTGCGGGCACTTTTCCACAACAGCTAGCATTAATGCTAGGCCACCCATGCTGCATTGAAACAAGCATTGGCTTTGATGTAATGACGACCAAATAAAGACATTGTTGAAAGTACATTCTCTAAAGGACATTTAACTGTTTTTCATGAAGGTTTGAGGTTTCAGTACCTGAACTAGCCTATCTATTGTTTCAGGCTCATGTGACAACAATAGGCAAAGGCCAGCGGTGTCAGATTGTCGTCACCTCAACACCCACCCAACATACTCACCCCAACGCTCAGCCTGATGCCCAGTCCTGCAGAGCCATCAACAATGGGGCAATAAAACAGAATCACAACAATGGAAGAACTCCCTTTTAGACAACAGCAGGCTGCGGGTTCAGCACAACACAGGACTACCAACAGCTACACTATGAGTGATTAAAACAAAGCAGGTAACTGTTAGTAGCAGATTACATTGGTTTTTGTTTTGTTTTTTTTTAATCGAATTTACATTTTAGACCAGATTTTCTTTTTTCCTTTGGACTGAGTAAGAACAAAGAAAAGTTTTGTTGTTTTCTTATGAGTTGTTTGCACTTATTGCCTGTAAATAAGAAGCTACGCCTCCCTCTTGCCCTCATCTTGAGCTCAATGGCAGCGTACCTACCCTGCAGATTGGACAGAGCGTATTCCAGCCCCTTCATGGCCTTCACCTGGTTGCTCTTGAAGCGGGCCAAGCCAAACTCCTAGGAAATCACACAACAGGAAATGGTTATTAAATGGCTGTATCTAAGAAAAACATATTTGTCTGTGTCTCTGTCTGACTGGAGACATTTAGAAAAGCCTGGAATAATGATGCTGGATCTACTACAGACAGATTACAGCTTCTGGTGTTAATAGGGCTCACCCTGCTCTGCGGCCAAATGTTTAATAAACATTTAAGCATTTAATCATTCTTTATATAAGACCCCTTCATAGGTGAATTGAATTATGTACAGTGACTTGGAACAGGATTGTTGCCCCCTTTAAACCACTGCACGCCGAGTCTTTTGCACACTTTTTTTTTAAACAATGTCTTTCTTCAGGTGCTTTATTAAAGGCTATTTTCTTTTCAATACTAATTGTTCAACCTAAGCTGTGGATTTCTGCAGCTCCTCCAAAGGTTACAATGGTTGATTATCTGATATATGCTCCATTCTGCTGGTTTGTCAGCAGCCAGATGGTCATATCTTGAAAAGTTTGCGATTTTGTCAGATGATGGATCAAACGGTTCTCTATGAGATATTCAAAGCATGCAATAATGTTTTTTTTAACAACTTTATCTATGGTGCAGGATTATTTCAATTCAGTTTATTTCTATAGCGCCAATTCACAACACATGTCATCTCAAGGCACTTTACAGTTCACCAGATCATACAGTCAAA